TCTGGGCAGGTTCGGAAGATGCATATTATTAGAGTGAATATTTATTATGAGAATGGCATAACAATTATCCGTCACTGATGAAAGGCAGGCTTAACCTCCCGCTCGGGCGAAAATAAGGCACGTTTCCAAGTGTCTTATTTGTATTCTGCGTACGATTTTCCACATGTGTGTCAGGAGTTCATTTTCTTACAGCCACTTCTTTTTCTTTTAATGCAATGTTTCACAGGAATTTACATTTTTAGTTTCTTACCTAATTCCCCCCCCCACCCCCTTTCTAGCCCCTGCCTTTTCTTAACCATCCAACCCTATGTGGCCTCGTCTCGGTGATTTGGAGACTGATTCCACGTGAGTCAGAATCGACTTGACGGCAGTGGGGTTTTGTGGACCTTATTTCAGCATCGGCATGTTCTTCATAATCTCTCCATCGCTCTTACACCCAATCTTTCCCCTCGTCTCAGGCGCTGAATCCTGTGAGGAAATGCAGGCTAACCGTCAAGCCCATGTCTGTAGAACATGAAGACCAACAATAATTATGTGTTTGAGTTCTGACTTATTCATACGAGAATTTGGGTCCAAATCATGTCATGCACCGGGGCTCCTCTTTATCCTGAGCGTGCTAATAGTGTTCACACGGACACCTGACATGCTTGTTTCGAGGACTAAATGAAGGCGTGCACCTGGGAGGGCTTCTTCTCGGGGCTCATTTCTCGTCAATACCTCAATTGTCTGTGAAGGATGCTTCTTTCCTCCCGGCATCTTACATTCTAGTCTCCTTCTCTAAGTGGTCCCTTTGTGTTACCCACATCACAGTCCTCTCTGTCTGTCTGTCTCAGGGAAGGCTAGGTGGAACCAAAGAGTGATCATCCACATTGTAAAGGCTGGTTTTCCGCAGCCTGCCATCCATTTGATAAATAGCCGCGTGTCCACCGTGCACCAAGCACACAGCTAAATGTAGGTCAGTCACGTAGACAAGCCACACAGCTCCCTGCTGGGAAATGGCTCAGGTGAAAGAGGCGCCAGGGTGGTGGAAACGGATGGCTGGGGGCCCGATCCTGATGGCCAGGCTTGCCCGGGTCTTCTCCTATCTCCTCTCACCCCTGCTCTGACAGACTCCAGGTTCGGTCCTTAAGCCAGGTTTTCATGCCACCACTGTCTCCCTAGAATGCCTCTCTTAGAATCCACTGAGGAATAAAATTAGCAGTCAGAGATGGCACATCCAATCTTATCTGAAAGGAAGAAACCCTCCCTGATGATCTTGGCATTGTCTCTACGAGAGCAATCAAACATATCAGCTGGAAATCTCTTTTCGGTGTGGTTGAACAGACCATTTAAAACAGTGTATTCTCGGAAATGCCTTGCTGTGACATTGTCGTTGGGCTATTTAGGAAGAAACTAACACCCATTTCTGCGTGTGCACTGCTCTGTTCTGCCTGCAAGTGAGAGACTGTCTTCATTTAGAATCAGGCAGAGCTCCAAAGACTTAAAATTGAGTTTCCTCTACTTTCAACTCTCTTTCCCTCTACGATTCCTCATTTCTAGAAAGGCAGTGCTGGGTGGTGGTGGTGGAACACACACACACACACACACACACACACACACACACAC